GATAGGTGCCTTCCTCTTCATGCTGCTTAAATATCTCCTTGCTTTTTCATTTTTAATCTGCAGATATCAGGAAAATTGGAAACAAAATATATTCAAGATTTGTTACTAGATAATATGTTTATCAACTGTAACAGATGGATAGAAAGAACAAACCCTTGAAATGGCTTCAGTGGACGGCGAACCAAGTAAATCAGTTATGACATCCAATTGGTGAACCGCATTCTTCCCCGGAAATAATGGTTTTCCTGTAAGCATTTCTGCAAATATACATCCTATACTCCAGATATCAACTGCTGGGGTGTACTGCAATTAAGTCTTTTGTCTTAGAATTTGTACAAATTTCTGAAAGATCGTTTGCAATAATAAAGTTATCACAAGTGTAAAACAATGATGGCTTACCCACCATCTCCTTAGGCATATGTTAAGTTCAAATTAGACCACCAAAACCTAATGTTCGTCGGCACAGTCTAACCATGATTAAAATCTTGTCAAGTGTGCTATCCACCAGTACAGTTTTCATAAAAACTGATCTTTTCCCTTTGCTTGGAAGAGTAAACTTGTCAAAAACACAGAAAAGCATATAAAAGAGGATATTTCCATTCCAATCTCCCAAGGTCACACTTTCCAATGAGCCTAGCTTCCTATTTCCTCTCTCCCTACATTCACAAAATTTCCGTTTTGGGAGATCCCAAAATTTTGACATACTTAAATTAATAGGTGTTCTATATGATTGTTATTTCTTTTAAGCAATTCAAATTAATCAATGATGTGATATTCTCCATCAGACCACTCTGTCAACTATGTCCTTAAATGGGTAAAAACAATCAAGTAGAAACAGGGCAATTCTAAGGGATTAAAGCAGTACCAATATCAACAAACTTAAGCAGTAAGCATCACATTTGATAGAACTAAAGAGACAGAATTTTTGTTTTATCAATAAGTGTCTAACTTTCCAGAATTTTGTTCGTTTGAAGAGGACGAATGAACACTAAAGTCTAAAATTATTCACTTTATTTCTCTATCAACCAATGCTAGCAATAGAAAACTGAGAGATGAAACTGATACAAGGTAGAGTGGGTATGTCTGTGACCTACAAATTTGGATATGGTAGACAGATACTACTACCAACTAAGTTGCTCGGACACGGGTGCGGGTATCCGACATCTAAAGGTCGGATCCTTCGAGATGTAAATTCTAAGATTCGGGGATATGGATCCTAGTACCGATACGGGTGCGGGGATCCGGCTAAAAATAATTCAAAAATATAAAAATATCTCTAAATTATGAGAAATTTTGTGGAATACTTATGTATAGCATGTAAAGTGTAGATTTCTTTTTTATTTTCAAGTTGTAAATAAGTAAAGGATTGATTTCCTAGATAAAATATGTTATTTTCTTCAAATTTACCCTAGTTTTGGTTTTGATTTCGGGAATCAAGTTGTATCTCGTCTCGAATTTTTTCGTCCGCGGTGGTCAAAGCACCAAAAATTGTTTGACCAGATCCGGTACGGATCCCATACCCACACCCATACTAGTGTCGTGTCGACACGGGTGCGGCATCTAAACTGCCATGTCGGAGCAACTTAGACTACCAATTAATATAGAGATATAAAAGAGAGGCAAAGACATCAAGAGATTCCTACTTGACCAAGAAGTTTGCAACTCTTCTTTTTATAGTAGTCCTGCATCCCCCATCAGTTTACGGAAAAGATAAAAATGAAAAGCATTGAACTACCTACATGCTATTCAGAGGTGAATCATTAAAAACAGTGAGGAGAGAGGATCTCTTTTTTCATAACCAGAGAGTTACAGCCTCACATCTACTATTATGGACAAACTATAAAATATATATCATTTTGGTCTCTGCAAATAGCAATTGCTAGGTAACATAACAGTAAAACCCTGGATGTCTTCATATCATTTTTGCTTAGAGAACATAAAATCGAGTATAACATCAGAAAATAGAGTAAGAGGAAGCATTGGATAAAAGTATTTTGCCTTAAACAGTTGAAAAGGGATTTCTATAATGGTATGGCATCTTGATGCATCAATTCCAACAATTAAGTGAACATTACACTCTCAAAATGACTTAACATAAAATAACAGACTTAAAAATGAAGATTGCAAACAAGAAATGAGGAAGCTAAGGAACAATGACACTAGTTCATTAGATGATGAACATTGGAAAGCAAAATCCCATGCTAAGTAAAGAAGTTTCACAATATGAAATTTAAGTTTCCAATTTTAACATAAGAACACGCACCTGTAGCAATCAGATGTATACAGAGTGACAAATAAATGTATAGAAACATGCATATTTACCTGTATAAAATCATACTTACTTTGGAGAAAAAGGAACCACAAAGTTCTGGAGCACGGTACCAACGAGTTGCCACGTAATCCTTTAGAGAAAAAGCATGAAGCATTTTACTTGGAATTACAGGGGTAACAAATTAACAACTTAAAGAACTGTGTTGGTTAATAATTTTCTATATTATAGTGATGTACAGAAAAGAAGAGAGAAGAGCATTCCATCTTTGAAAGCACAAAGAATCGGGCACTTCTATCACAGGTTACTGACTTAACACTTCACTGTCAGACTCAAATATTTTGAGTGGCTATTTAAGTAAAGATAGACAAAGAAAACGTTAGAGTAGAGAGATGAAGCATACAGTCCAGAAAACAGCAGATGGGGTATCGCCAAGTGATACCCGAGCAAGCCCAAAATCACAAATTTTCAGCTTGCAATCTGCATTTGCTAGAATGTTCTTTGGCTTCAAATCTCGATGGAACACGTTTGCTGTTAAATCAACAAATGTGAGAATGAGTCATCATATGTAAAAAGAGAAAAGGTCTTCAATTTACCAGAAAACAGAAAGAGAAAATCACAACCTGTATGCATATACTTTAAACCTCGAAGAAGCTGATACATAAAGAATTGATAATGTTCAGGAGTGAGACTGTCATTTGCTTTAATTACATGTTGAAGGTCACATTCCATCAACTCAAAGACAACATATATATCCTTGAATTCCCTCGGACATGGAGGCAACAATATATGCTTTATTTCTACAATATCTGGATGCCGANGTGCCGAAGCAACCGAAGGAGCTTTATTTCTCTAAGGATGCGGGTGGCTTCCGAAGCATGCTCAAAAACATCATTGATCTTCTTTATTGCTACCTTTTCTCCGGTATGAGTATCAATTGCTGCTGCAACAACTCCATAACTTCCCTTTCCAACAACCTCTTGGATTTCATATTGATGGGCTTCACCATATTCAGTGAAGAATTCTTTGAAATCCATCACCTGCGATATTATGAGATACTATTAGAGTCTAAGTTGCTCGGAATCGCGTGCGGGCGTCCGATATGGGTGCGGATCTAGAAGTGGGATCCTTCATGATCTAAATTTTAAGATTTGGGGGTATGGATTCAGGTATGGTTACGGGTGCGCGGATTCGGCTAAAAATATTCAAATATCTAAAAATAGAGTTATAAAATTTGTCTAAATTATGAGAGATTATGTGAAAAACTTACAAGGTATTGACATAACAATTTCTATATACAAGGTGTTCCATTTACTTCACTTTCTCTGTAGCTTTTGTTTTGATTTAAGAAATCATTTTATATGTCCGGAATTTCTCCATCGAGTTTGGTCAAAGTACCATAAATCGGTTGACCAGATCTGGTGGATCCCACACCACACCCACGTCGTGTCGACACAGGTGAGCAACTTAGATTAGAATTCCTCTTTAGACAAACAGGCAAGGTCCATAAAAGATGCAGAAGGATATCAATATCTCACACTTTCTGTATAACTATAAAAATAAGTCTGGAGCGAAATCTTCTCCTTTTCCTCTTGTAACTATGATCTAAATGCCAAGCTCTACCCCACACATTAAACAACATATATTTTTGCAGTGCAACAAATCTAATTTTACAGTATATTCTTACACTGTGTCACAAAAGTACATGGAACAGATAGAAGCTAAGGATATGACATGGATCGTAGGAGCATTCCGGATACAAAACCAGGTGCTATGCTAAAAAAATAACTGAGTTCAGGATTTAGAGATTGAGCCGAGGGTCTATCGGAAACAACTTCTCTATCTTTATAAGGTAGGGGTAAGTTCTGCGTACACACTACCCTCCCCAGACCCCATTTATGGGAATACACTGGGGTTTTTGTTGTTGTTTGTAGTTCAGGATTTAGAGAACATGAAAGTAAACTAGCTTCTGATATGAATGGAATCTTTTAAGGAATTTAGAGAACTTTTGGGGAATTCATGTGTATGGATAGCGAGTGAACAAATGCGACTTCAGTAGCTACATTGATACACTACAAATCAATTCAAACATATCCTCCTCGCTTCGGCACCCCCAACCAACAAGAAAAAGAAAGAAAAACTAAATGATGACGAAGAAGAATAAGAAAAGTTACCATTGTTTTGGTACTTAGACTTGTAAAGAAGATGGATGCCGTTTAAATCACTTTCAAGACCTGCAATGCATCAAATGAAATTAAGAACTAAATAACAATTAAGTACTCCAGTTGCTAATTACTCACTGATTAAAAAACCTGAGTGCTAATACAACAGATATCTCTAAATATCAGCTAATTAATCTTTTTAATGAGCAAAAATTCCAACCATAAACATTTCTATTTTATTCAACCACATTCCAAATATTCAGAATATAGTCAACAAGAAAATAAAACTAGAATCATGAATCAAATGATACCTCTGTAAATCATCCAACTGCATTAAAAATGAACAAGTAATTCTAATATATATACACATAAATCAAAACAAAATTAACAAGCAAAAACATAGAAAGATTAGATCTTGAATGAAAGAATTCACCTCTATAATAGGTCTCTGAAGAGAGCTAAAAACAGCTTATTAATTTGATACTCCTTTTCCAAGTTCCAAGCTTTAAGGGATTGACAATTATATATGTATTACTTATAATTCCAGGAAAAGGTACAAGTCTACAGAAATGAACAGGTAAAACCAACCCCAGTTGAAAACGTTTTATATTTATGGCAAGTTGATTAAAGAAATATTAAAAATAAAAGTTGAAGAAAAAGCCAAGATTGAATATGTCAGCTGTCTTTATCAAAAATCTTTCCCCACTAGCTGCTTTTTTAAAAGAAAAGAAATAAATAAATGGGCTTTAGAGTGAGGGGAGGAGGTGTTTAGATTTAAATAAAAAAAACATGGGGAGAAATAAACAACGAAATGGGCGTACATACATCGTTCACCACCCAATCCAGCATATAAATACGTAGTGATGTTTTGGTTGAACGGATAAAGGATATTAACTTCCGTAATAAAATACGTATTTTGTGTTTGATTAAATTATTAATTTTAGAATTATTTATACAATCAGAGTTCAATTGTAGAATATACAAAGTTGGACCGAGGATATCTCATGGATTAACTATTTTATATTTTATATGGGATAAGCTAATTCAACAGTTTTGTATAAAAAAAGATGGGCAAATATATAGACGGCCCTTTAAACTTGGCTCCAGTTTTCATTTTGACACATTAATTTAGCGTTTTTTCTATTGAACACTTTAATTCTATTTTGGTGTATACCATTTAAACACAACACATGTCCGGCCAAAGGAGCGTTATGTCCACACATGATAAACGCGTGAATGTTATTAATATTTGCTTAGGTGGATATTCTAACGGTAAAAATAAAATATACCCGTTAGACCCACTTTAAAACACCCGATTTTCCCATTTTTTCTCTCAAGAATGCCCTAAATCTTCTTTCGTCTTCTTCCCTTGCAAATTCGTCATTTCCCCCTTCTACTGAAGCTTAGGTGACCAAGCTTGAATCTTGATCTGATTTCTTCCTCATCTTTCTCGTTTATCAGTTCCATATCACAAAAATCAATAACTTCTCGCAATGGAATAAAAATTTGCCACTGTGGATTTAATGCGCCACTGACTATATCATGGTCATCTGCAAATCCAGGTCGCCGATTTTATGGTTTTATATTGGTAAGTCGATCGTATTGTTTTTGTTAGACCCTTGAATTTCTTAATAAAGAAATTTGTTTTTAATTTTTTTTTTGCCGCATTTCTTTTTGAATTTTGTAGGGTCGAGGTGGCTGCAAATATTTCAGATGGCATGATGATGAAATGCCTGACCAAGCTAAGAGGGTTATACGGGGTCTGTTGAAGAGAGTCGAAAGAACTAAGAAAACAGTTGCGCGGTTGAAGTGGTTATTTGTTGTGGTGGTGGTGCTGTTTCTATGGATTTGGCTTTGGTGATGCTGGTGGTTTGAAGAACAATGTAGTATTTTTATGATATGCTGGTGTTAATAGTGTTGTAGTTGCTGCTATTAGTTCAAGAAAAATGTAATATGTTGGAAGTAGGTACTAGGAATTTGGCCTTTTGTTAATGTATACTATCTTGTTATGAATGAAATGAAAATGACCAATTTTTAATGCAAATTTAAGTTCAGCTGCACTTCCATAATGTGTTATGAATGAAATGCAAATTCATATTTATGAATTGAAAACATAACTGCCTAAACATTCTATTGCATAATGTGATGGACTAGCATTACATCCAAGCTCAAAAATAAAGCATTATTTTGGTCTATAAATTATAAAAAAACAGAGCATTATTTTCTCAAATATATAACTGCCCAAACTAGTAAACTCTAATAGAGCATAACTTCCTAAACAAAAAACTGGTAGTGACATCTTAGATAACATAAATAAAAACTGGTCTGCTTCACAGTGTAGATGCAGCTGAACTTGTTTGACTTGAAGAACCTTTTTTCCTTGCTGCACTCATTTGCTGAAGTTGTGAACTTGTCACTGCATTTCTTCCTTTAAACTTCAATTCGGGGGGCTTAAATCCAATGTCTATGTTAGTTGCAGATGTATCCTTGAATGTCTCACCTGATATGACTCTCTTAGATGATATACCAGGCTGTAAAATATAATGAATTAGTAAAAAATAAAATAATTCCAGCCCACAAAACTGCATTATAATAAACTATACACCCTTACATTCAGGATAGTAGTTCCAGTCATAATGTCAGTGAAAATCCTAAAACCAGTATGCCTTGGCCTTTTATGTCCAATGGTTGCTGCATTAGTCGAGCCTCCTCCTAGTATAGTTCCTCTTCTTTTTCCCCTACATAGTCCATGGCCTCTTCTTCTTCCTCTTCCTCTTCCTCTTCCTCTACCAATCCCAGTTGATTGGTTGTTGCTTTGTCTTTTGACAACACTTGTATCTTCACATATAGAGGATGGATTGCTTTGTTGAGATGGTATTTCCTGAGATGATCTTGGTGGAGGTGGTGGCATATTTTGACTTTGTTGAGTAGCACTTCTTGGAACATGCTGACAGAAGTAAAAGAAAAGAATATCAGAATTGTAAAAAAAGAATGTAAAGACAGAATTATAAATATCAGAACTTACCCCTTTCCTGCATCCAGATTTGTTGTGTCCAGTTTGTTGGCAGTTTGAACAAGTCATCTTTACCCTTTTCTTTGATAGTTTATCATGCTTTTTTCTTGGTTCATCCTTGGCTTTTCTCCTATATCTCTTTGGTCTACCTGGCATAGGTTTAGGTTCCGGGGGCTCTATAGATGGATTTGTTGAATCCGACCACATCTTCATATTGGGAATTGGTTGAATGAAATGCTAGTAAGCTTTAAGAAAAGTTTTTTTCCTATACCAGTGGGCAACATAATCATCTGGGTCCATTTCTGTATCATAGAATGCACACACTGCATGTTGACATGGAATGCCCCTCAACATCCATGATCTACAAGTACATGTCATGGTCCTAAAATCAACAATGAATCTGTACACACCTTCATCAACTTCAAACCCATGTTCTGCATTCCAAATAACCTTACACCTCCTAGAAAGGGTTTTGTTCTCTTCCAGTATCATCCTAGCCATTGGTGCAATGTCAGTAACCCAAGTCTCAGCAAACCTCCTCATTTCAATGGTCATATTCATGGTTTTATGTCTAATTTCTTCCAACATAGTTATAACAGACTTGTGCCTAGGACATACAATCCAAGAATTGAATGTTTCACACATGTTATTCTCAATGACATCGCACTTTGAATCTTCTCTAAAGTATGCCCTACACCAATACTCTTTATCATACTTCAACAAGTTTTCACATATCTTATAACCAAGCTTATTCATTGCTTCCAGTTCTTCCTTGAATTTTACTTCATAAGATGCTTTGGCATATCTCCAGAATTGTTTCCTCCTTTCTTCACCTCTCCAGTTCTTGGACCAGTTAGACCAAATGTGTCTAGCACACATTCTGTGTTCTTCCATTGGTAGTAATTCTCTTATAGTTGGTACTAGTCCCTACAAAAAATAGTAATAACTGTTAGTGGACAGTATATATAAAGCAGGAAAAATAAAAATTAAAAGTTGATTATAACTTTACCTTTTGCATATCTGACATAACAGTTAAGCCAACACCATCTCCCAACTGTAAATCTGCAAACAAATATGTGATGAACTTGCTCCAGGATTGTTTTGTCTCTTGATCAACTACAGCCCATGCAATAGGAAACATTTGATTGTTCCCATTTCTACCAGCTGCAACAAGTAACTCACCCTTGCAGATTCCCTTTAGAAAATATCCATCAAATCCTATAATCCTTCTACACCCTTCTAACCATCCTTTTTTTAAAACATCTAAACATAGATAGAAGTAGACAAACAGATTCTTGTTAGGAATAGTCTCACTATCTGTTCTGATCCAGCATGAACTCCCAGGATTTGTTTGCTTAATAATATCAGCATAATCAGCAAGTCTGTTAAATTCCATCCTCCAGCCACCCATGAATTGACTTATCACCCTACACTCCTTCCAACATACAAACCTAACTTATCTCTGACCAAATCCTGAATCTCCCCACAACTTAATATCTGGCTGGAAAATAATCCTATCTTTATACTTATTGGCAATGTACTTAGAAGTACATAATTTGTTCTTATTTTTGGTGTTGCACTTATGAGCTGGATGATACTTCTTCACAATAAAGTCACATGAATCTCCATAATTGCTTGCATACAATTCCCAGTTACACTTGACTCCTTTACACTTACCTCTAACCCTATCTTTTTCATTAGGCCTAATTGTTAGTTGCACTTTGTTCTCCACAGCATATGAGACTACTACTTTTCTAAACTCTACAGCATTTTCAAATACCATACCAAGCTCAAAAATAGCAAGGTAACAGTCAGGGTCAAACCTTACCTTTTTGAGGTAAGTCAATACCTCGTTCAGCTAAAACATCTAACTCATCTGTGCTATCATCACTTCCAATATCAGAACTGGTGTAGTAGTCTCCATCCCCTCCTAATTTTCCAGCAAACCTGTCCTCCTTAAATGGTCTGCCAATATCCTCAAAGCCTTTATCTATTCCAGCTTCTCCCAGAATAATCTCTTCAGTTGGAGTAGGTTTCTTTCTTTGTTTCTTCTGTTTTTTCTTCTTTCTTCTTTCATGCCTTAATGAAGTGAGCTCGTCATTCACATCACTATCATCTTCATCAGGAATGTTATCTAATTCAGACTCACTACTTGACAGATCTGATGCCAAACTAGCATCTATGTTTGTTGTTTCTTCAGCCCCTTGTAAATTCTCACCTGCAACCACAACATCAGCTAAATTTTTCTCTATAACAGTAGATGTTGCCCTAACCTCTTTATTTAATATATTTTTACTTGGTTCAACAACTTCTGGCCCACATAAAAGGCCACATGGGACAGTCTCATCAAGCAACACAGGCTCATTAACTACATGCTTAATATACAAATCTAAATGATCAAGATGATTAAGGTGACAAACTATATTATACAGTTGTTCATCATTTTCAATCAAGACAACGTCATTAGATTTAGGATTAATTAAATAAAAACCCTCTACCTCAACATAACTCATATCCTTTGTGTAGGACAAAAGCTCAAAAAGAGAAAAGTGGTCCTTGTCTATCATGTGACGATCCTCACCCCTCTTTCCTACATATCTCGGGACAGGATCCTTGACAATATGTCCACCATGGTGAAAATCAACAAGAATATATTCATCTGCAGACATGTCTAGACCCTCAAAACTTCAGTCACGACTAACTCCAGTCACGACCAGCTCCAGTTACGACCAACTCCACTCACCGCCACGGTCAAAAGAAGCAAATGATTACCCGTATTAGTAATATAATGGCCAAATAGTTGACAGACAGTTGAATCTAACTCAAAATCATGAAGATTCCACCGGGAATCGGTCTCAATGTAGTTTATTAGGGTTTATTAGGCTAAAGAAAGGGGATTTTGGGCGGAAGATTGATTAAGTGAGGCGAGGTATGTGGGTAAGGTAAAAACAAAATTTTTTATCCGACCTGGATAAATAAACACGTGTCAGACTATTTTTGGTATGTTATTCCACGTGGGAAGCGTTTAAAAACACGCGCTTAAGTTTTTATAGCCCGGTCATGCATTGTGTTTAAATGGTATAGTCCAAAGTACAGTTAAAGTGTTCAATAGAAAAAGAGCTAAGTTAAGGTGTCAAAATAAAAATTGGAGCCAAGTTTAAGGGGCCGTATACCTATTTGGCCAAAAACAATCTACCATTAGCTAATACCCATAACTAAGTACAAGATAAATACAATCTCATATTCTATCCCATGATTCTTGTACCGGTAACCAAATGATCCTTAATTGAGGTATTTTTATAAGATGTTCGGTGTGAGATAATATTCGGATTTACTAATTTCAAGATAAAACACTAAAATGACAAAGACGCTCTCCTCGAAAACTCTTCTGTTAAAGTTTTATAAAGAGAGTCAAGGTTAAACTTAACATATAGAATTATCCCAATTTATAAAATAAAAAAAAAATGCCCATTTTATATTATAGTTAGTATGTCTTATTTTTAGTCAATAAAATGAGTGAGAATCATAAGCTCTTACGTTCAAATTCTAGCAGAATAAAAAATACTAAGTTATTTTTTTTTCATTTGTTCAAGTCTTGGGGGATAAAGTTATCTTGTATCTATTAATAGTGGGAAGTGACAGGTATTCCGTGAAATTAATCAATGTACGAACACGACGATTATTAAAAAAGTAATAAATTTAGATCTATTAATTAATTTTATTTTTACATATTAAAATTTCAACAATTTAAATTTAGTAGTTATAACTTATTACAAACCAAACGATCCGGGTGCACCTATATTTTTATTTATCAAAAAAATCGAAAAAATAAATAAAAATGGAAAATTGATGAATAATGAAAGAATAGAATCCGATGCATGGCTTAAACTAGAAGACAAGAGTTGTAAATTGAATGTGTAAACAGTGGAACCTCCGACACCTTAAATTGCGAGCCTTATCTTATCTCCCCCTTTTTATCTGTGTTCACAATCACACCTAAAGTTCAGTGTATTAAGCTCTCATTATATACGTGGTTCGAAAAAAGATCGGATCATAAAAGTCTATCGTACGCAATTTTATCCTGTATTTATATAAGAGGCTATTTTTACAGCTCAAACCCGTAACCTCCTGGTCACATAACAACAACTTTATCAGTTACGCCAACATTCTCCCCTTTGTCCACAACCACAACTTCCCCAAAATAACAAGTTGTTGAATCAACTGACCTAAGCTTAAGCTCCTCTAGTTCTGGAAATAATATGCTTTGTTTCTATTTAAACTAGGTAATTTGATCCGATATAAAGTTTTTTTAAAAAAATTTAAAATTTGTGATTTTAAAAAATTAAGGGATATAAGTTTTGTGAATCATGATATTTGTGTGGTTATAAAAGTTTCTCATTAATGATAAAATGGATAAAATAAAAAGTTTAAAGTTAAATTATTTCGAATTGTAAAAATATATTATTCTTTTATAAACGGACTAATAAGAAATGCGTGTCATTTAAATTGAAACACATGGAGTATAAGGAAGGAGAAAGGAAAGTCTGCTAATCTTAAGAATAACGCGTCAAATACAATTTTTGTATTAATAACCTATAGAATAGGCAGATCAACCGCAGCCATTACAGTGATATATGCAAGTTGGTATTATGATTAATAATTTTAAGTTTTATGCACTTAAAAAATGTTTAGCCAATCATATTAATTAAACATCCATAACAACATAGTAACTCTTTTCTTTTTCTTATCCATCTGGTATTCCAAAATTATTGGTTAAACTAATTAAAATTAGTGCCGCGTAAGATTTATTTGAGAGGGAAGTACTCACTATCAAGGGTTTCTCCATTTTCAGAGCTCAAATCAGAAACATGATTAAGGATAAAAGGTTTTTTGTCCATCCCACTATACTCCTTGTGATAACTGAGTAATTCTTTATAAAGTTATTGAATGAAAACTTGAGAAAAATAGTAAGGTACGTATTATAACTAATTAAATTACAATAATATATACTAAAAATAATAATAGTACTTATAAGTTAAATTATTTTAGTTGGTAAGTAGAATTACGTCTTCAAATCTAGCAAAATTTGTAAATAATTGAATAATAAAGCCAAAATTTTGTCAATCCGATCAAACTTATAAATACTTTAGCAAGATAGATAAAATAAAAATTGTACTAAAGTTATGCCAAGCCAATATGACTTGTGAACAAGGCAAATGTCGCCAATAATCTGATAAGATTTATGAATAGTTTAACAAAATATGTAGATTGAAATTATTATGCTTCGTCGGTATAGCTTGTGAGTTGTGAGAGGATATGATTTTTATTTTTGCTAGCAGATATGAATCTAGGATTTAAATTTTATGGGTAACTTTTAAAGTTATTTGTATTGAATTAATTATATTTTTAAAGTTATTAATTCATATTTACTATTTGTTGTAATTTTAGTAGATTTCTATACGTAAAATTATGCTCCATATCAAAAATTATGAATTCAATTGAGTCTGTCATGTAATGCTACATCCGCCCCTACTTGGTACTGTAACACCGAGGTTAGTTTTGCATAAATTTTTTAAACGGAGACAAAGATTAAATTGCGGACACAAATCATCCTATTCGTGCAAATCTCCTAAAATTAAATATATTAGTAACCATTATACTTTAAATGGATAATTTCTATATAAGAGAAAGAGATACAAGAGAATTCTCAATATCTATTGCATTAAGATGTGGGGATACTTTCATAGAGTTCTCCAGTTGACAGCTATATTGAGTTCAGATGCAGATGAAAGGTCGAATTCTCAACTTGATATCGGTAAGAAGCCTACAAAAAATGTGTTTTTCTATTTTGTTTTTTCTCTCGGTGTTCAGAATTCATTTCGGAATCCTGATTAATCCTGAATCGTGCCGCATAAAGTCATACATTGGGGTATTATTACTTTTAGTCCGTGCCAGAAACTATTTACATCTGATAGTCGAAAAAGTGTATAAAATTTGTATAATTTTTATATATAACATACATAATGTGTATATATATATATATACAAAAAAATACAATTTCTTTTTATATTTTTCGGCTATTATTTTTACACAGTATTATTTTTGCGTCAATTAAAAGGGTCTCGAACCTAAAACCTATAATTAAGTGTATAAAAATTCTATTCATTCCAATATTACCCTAGCGTAGTTAAAAAAATGGGTTCACTACATCTAATCTCATGCTATTGGGACCAAGTTTCCTAAAATGCTAAGCCTAGTTGAGCGAAGTATGGTAATCTCTACACTATCTAGTGGAGCCTGGCCTAGAATTTTTTTTTTCTAAAGTCAAATCGAGCTCGAGATAAATTTTTGACGTTTATTCTTCTGCATGCGATTACACCTTTAAAAATATGAAATTCATAATAAATTGTT